TGCTTCGATCAGCCTAAATTAATCTGCCCGGACCATCTTACACTGTACAGTACAGGGAAATGTATGAGAGTATTCAACATTGATTTACGTTTAAATTTTGATGGGTCCAATAATACCGTTGTGTTGTTTTTTTTCTCTGATTTATATTTGCTTCGCTGTTGTGGTTACATTTGTCATCTGTTTTGGTTTGATCATTCTTCAACTCAGGCAACAACCCCGACAGGGGGCGCCGTGGTGTCGAGATGTTAACTACCTCGCTGGGTCGGCAGGTGGTCGTGGGTTCGATCCCCACCCTGACGCCTGCTGCTGAATATTTGGGGTTTACGTGTCTCTCTTTCTCTCCCCGTGGGTTTCTTTTTTGTCCGGCTCCGTCAGGTTTTCCCTCCACATTTAGAAACGCGCGCTTAGAGTAATTGGCTGCTGCTATACTATTCCACGTGACGATAAGCCACTGTCGTTGAGCTATCACTTGTGGCCAGGTCGCTTCTATATAAAGAGCTATTTCGCTCAGTGGTCCTGGCCTGGTAAATTAAAAAAAAAGTTGAAAGGTCAAAATAACAACGTCACGTTACTGGGTTCAGATTGTGCCAGTGTGGTGGGGATGTAGCTCAGTGGTAGAGCGCACGCTTCGCATGTGTGAGGCCCCGGGTTCAATCCCCGGCATCTCCACGTGGGATTATTTTTTTTAATGTTCATTTGAAGCTTTTAAACGAAAGTTGAATGCGGAAACTGAATGACCTCTTTCCCTGTAATGGGGGGGCAGGGGAGGGGAGACGCGGCACATTGATTATCGTGAACGTGAGCCAATAAGAACTAAACTTTTAGGATAAATGTGTTTGCTATCACGAACTTGCTCTTGCTCCAGTAACATACAATGCACGCTGTTGGGGTCTCTCTCACCGTGGTTGAACATTGACTCGACTCGTTTGTAAAATCGGAACACGTCTCCCTCTGCTGGTCGTAGTAGGAAACTCCGAATGGAACTCAAAACAGATCAGAGTCGGGAATCTTTATATTTATACCGGAGGAATCCGATGAGCTATCAAGCCATTTTTCACCGATGTCCAGCAGGGCTGGGCCAGAAGGACTTCACGACCCGCCGAGACAAGAGGACACGAGTTTCCAGCAAGGCATCGTGCGGAGGATCCTTTCGCCCATCGCGCGCGCTTGGGAGGCTCAGACAATCGTATGCATTCGGAGTGCCCGTGCACGAACATCTACAATGTATTGGTGCAAAGGTGCAGCCCTGCCATTTCTCGTTCCCGTCACCGTTGGCGGATGGCGCATTCGCAGGAGAGAGAACCCCTGCAGGAGGTATTTTGGGTCTGTTCGTCGATGCTCCGGGTAAAGTAACGTAGGGCAAAATTGAAGCGCTTCCTTCATCCATCAATGGATAGATCACGGCTGATGATGGTGGTGGTACATGCTTCAACGTTCACAGTATCATCTATCTCTCTGGTGCGTGTAAACCGAGTAACAATTTGTGGAAAGTAGTCAGCAGTTGTCCCGCGGAGTCAACTGTTATGCACCATGGGAATGTGGAGTTTCCACCGCTGTGGCTCAGGACTCCGAACGGAGTTCTGATTCCCATCGACTTGCACGTCAACTGTTGAGTTTGTTTCAACAGAGAAGCGTATTAAAAAAAAAACATTTCTGCGCGTAAATATTTACAACTAATGCTGTTACGGTAAACGCGTCATTTGGTGGTGGTGGTGGTGATGCTCCGTTGGCAATGGTGCATGAGCAGAGTTAACTGTTGACCCGGCCCACACTAAACATCTGTAGAAAAATAGCTTCATGGCTCATCAGGATTCCTCCAGTCTAAATCAAGATTCTGATTTTGTTCACAACAGCCTCAACTAATTCTTCAACAACAACACTGTGTGGCCCTCAAGTGGAAAATATGTTACTGGCTACGTTTAGGGTAGCGGCACTTCTTGGTAACATATGACGAAGGGTCGTTGCCCGAAACGTCACCTCTAACTTTTTATTTTATTTTAATGCTACGGCGTTATTGACGAACGTGTTGAGTTTTTTGTATATATTGTATCGTAAATAAAAAAAATCACATGTTGAATTATAGTAATGTATAAAACTTGTAATTGCTTTCATAAACATCTAGCTATTAACAGTAACGTATAAAGCTGTGGTCTATATTCCTCACGGACTTGTGTTTAATATCAAGTTAAACTGTATACGTAATTATAATAAAATAAAAAAGAACGACCCAGATGGGACTCGAACCCACAATCCCCAGCTCCGGAGGCTGGTGCCTTATCCATTAGGCCACTGGGCCAGGCATTGGCAAGGTGTCTCATTTGGGTCATCATCACCACCAGCCATGATCAATCCACTGCTGAATGAAAATGTTCCCGAGCCGTCGTCAAAGCATCACGGTTGCGAGATGTTAACTTCCTCGCCTGGTATGCAGGATGTCGTGGGTTCGATCATGACCCTGACGCCGGTTTGTTTTGGGGTTTGCGTGTCTCTTTTTCCGTGTTCGCGTAGATTTTTCTCCCGGGTCCTCCGGGGTTTCCCCTCCACATTTAGGATCGACGCGCGTTTAGAGTGTTTGGGCTCCTGCTAGAAATGTTCACGTGATGATAAACCACTTCGTCGCGCTGCCATTTGTGGCCGGGTCGCTTCTATGAAAGAGCTTCATAGCTCAGTGAGCCTTACGTGGTAAAATAAAATGTTTATTGTGGTCATCGCAAAATGTCAATGCGTTGTAACAATCCACGTGGCAAGTCAATTTTCTGGGCGCTCCCTCCATTGGCTGGCACTCCGCTGTTAGTCTCGCGACCTTCGGGCTATCGTCTCTCACTGGCCGGAACGCGTCCCGCTTCTCCAAGCACCGTTGACTTCTCTGAGCAGTAAATGTTTCAATTTCATTTATTTGGTATAGCCCTGTAAGCCATTTGGCTCTTGAATCGGGTGCAACCGCAACAAACAAAAAAACTAAAAATATGAACACGAAAACATCTTAAAGTGACTACGCGCAAACAGAAAAATCCAGGAAAAAAACCAGCAAAAACTTCCAGGAAAAGCACGGTATACCAACGCTGTGTGCAAAAATCCCAGTGGGATGCAACTCAACAACAACCACAAGAAAATTTATATTAAAGCCATCAGTCTAGTTCCGTACTACAACAAACAAAAATGGCCAAACCAAAAAAACTTTTTGAAATCACCAAAATAAAGCCATAAAAGCAATGTAACAGTGATCAAAGGAACTGTGACCGAAATTTCACAATAAACGGCATAAACAACATGTACCACCAAACCCTGCAGACAATAGCTGGCTGCATGAGTCACTCCACAATAGCAGGAGCATCAGTAGGAGTATCAACATTTTTCAATGCAGATCAGCACACTAAATCTCATCCACGTGTTCTTCTTCCTGTCTCTCTCTCTCAGTGTCATCACCACTATCCACTGCTGGATGCATATCAGCGCGACGATGATGTCTCTACCCTGCACGTGCGTGTTCTCTCATCCACGTGTTCCTCTTCCTGTATCTCCCAGTGTCATCACCACGATCCACTCCTGGATGAATATCAGCGTGACGACGATGTCTCTACCCTGCGCGTGCGTGTTCTCTCGTCATCCACGTGTTCCTCCTCCACCCCCTCATGTGCTGTGCGGGCCTTCATTGATGCTGCCCGCTGCTAACAACACATGCCCCAACAGTCTGTTAAAGGCTATACAGTGGGGGGGGGAGGGGATATTTGTCTTTGAGTGTGGTAGACAACGCTGATTGGAAATGATGGACGTGCTGCGTGGGTACGTGTGCACGCGTGTGCGTGTGTGTATATATGCGTGGGTGTTCCAACTGGAGCGGTAGTGCAGCTGCGCTTCGAACCCGGACGAAACGGCTACCAACACCGGGGACGATTATCTGAACCAGTCCTGGACCTCCCCTAGGTCGACTTAGCCTCAAATGAGTACCTGGTACGATGTGTAAACATCGCCACTAGGGAGACAAAGGTGGCCGGGCGTGGTGTTGGCCACCAACCCCCTCGTGTGTTGTACCGGCCTTCATAGGTGCTCGCTAACAGCACTTGCCCCAACAGTCTGTGAAGGCTATAGGGCGATCTTTGTCTTTGTTACAATGAGCCTCAAAGTGCACCGAGCCTGGCGCACTTTCGTGAATGTCGGCTGTTGACGCGTTAATCAACGTACAGGTAGGTGGCCGATTCAAGCTCTCTCTGGCAACGTGAGACCTGTTTTGCAATCATCAGGCGCGTGCAGCGCCTCGCGACTGAATTCGCATATCAACGGAGAGCAAGGTGATAGTGGTGCAGTCCATGACCCTGGATCAGATATTTCGGCTACCAGCTGCACGAGGCGGCAACAGCACATCCGATTAGCACGGTTGGCTACGTACGGTGAGAAAGAAGTTCTACATACATAGTATCAGCGATTCCAATGCTTTGCTGTGGCCAATAATAGTGAATTATGCGATTCCCGTGTGAAATGAGTGGGAGGGGGTTATCAAATACTGAATTCATATTAACCGTGTAAAATGTATGTATACGTGTGTTTGTTGAACTTATTTCGCCCCGTACGTAGTTGGCCGTGCTAATCGGAGGTGCGGAATATCCATCGCGACCACTCACGACGCAAGATGCGGCCGCTCATCTTTCGGATGGTCGCAATTTCTGCTCCGGCCCGTGTACTAATCATAAATAATCAAGACCGACTGCGAGACGCTGGAGTCTTGATGAACCACGTGCGCTGGTTACTTATAGAACCACGTCCCCCCCACCCACCTCCATCTCCCTCCACCCCCACCCCTCTTTCCAAGTTTCATCAAAATTGCGGCCAGGCGTGAAAAACCAGAATCTCCGACTCGCCAATCGGTACACCGAGCCGAGGTGTCGGCCAATCGGGGGCGAGCAGTGGGGTATTTAAATTCCACGTGGCCGGGGGGGGGGAATGGCCCACGTGGCTTATTGCTGGTTCAACTCACGTAGGCGTACCCCCCGTGCCCGGTAAGACGATAATAGCCCCTTGTCCAAAGTGTATCTAGCCTGGCACAAGGAGGGGGAAGAGAGGGTGTGTGTGTGTGTGTTGGCCGTGTAAGTAAGCCCTTCTCGATTTTTTTTCCTAGTACTTTCCACAGAACGAGGACATTGTCAATCCACTGCTGGATGTGTGCCTCCCTCCACGCGTTGCTATGCGTTTTTTGTATGGGTCGTGTTGGTGGCGGCGGAATGAGCATACGTCTCGCTGGTCCGTGCTTGCTTGGAGACGTTGGGAAGGGAAGCCGTAGACGGTCAATTACAGTACAACACAACATTGGATTTTGCAGCACAGCACCGTAGCCGCTTGTACTATGAGTGGTGCATGGTGATCACGCGTCTGCAATGCACCGTCCACGTACAACACCTGACTTTGGCTTCCGAGAATCGAACGGATCGGGTCCGAGCAACTCCATCAGAGGCGAAACGCAGCCAAATAATCGATGACAAATGTCGATGTTTGAGCTCGTGTGTAATGTGACGCGTTGCGTGGGGTTTTTGTTGCAAGTTCCGAAACGTTGTGTAATGGGCGGTGGAGACTCCGCCAACCGCTAGTGGCCGCTATTACTGGTAGGAATGAAGTTGTAAACTGAGTGTACCGGCCTGCAATAGATTAATGTGTCCGGCCGTCCCCTTTCAATACTTTAACGAAGTGAAATCTCGTGCTGTTGGGTGTAAAAATTCCAATGTTCCTACCATCCCACCCTGCAGGGACCTGTATTAAGAATGTTGCAAGAAAAGACGGTGCGAGTCGAATCCGTAGCAATCGCGTCGTGGTCGTAAAATTACTGTGACACCTGGCGAACATTAGGTTAACTTTGTAAAAAAAGTATAACATCCAAATTTGTGTTCGTAACCCCATTGTGGGCAACCTTTTAAAGCGTTTGGAGAAACGGGCCGCGCGGAAGCGGGTATCGTAGAGCTACGTCCGAGACGCGCCCACCCACCCCCTCGCCCGTTTCCCTTCCCTTGGGTGGCGCCGTTTGAATTTTTGGCGCGGTCACACTGCGGGCGGGAGGTGTATTGTTTGCGGTTTTTGAGCCCCCCCCCCCCCCACAACTGCAGACGGACCCGACTGCTTGCTGCTACTCCAGCAGGTTTAAGCTACTTGTGGCTGCCCAAAAACCAACCCCGCTCGCCGCCGCCACTCGCCACCACCATCATGTCCCGGATGAAGGTCCCCAACACGCGCATCAATCGGTTCAAGTACAAGGGGAAGGATATGGACGTGAGTTTCCCCATCTTGGTCTCCGCTCGCCTTCGTGGCTCCATAGTTAGGAGGAGGTGGTGGAAGTCTGACTTGGTGGGGGAAGGGTGTAGCTGCAGGCAGGGCCTCATTTAAGGTTATTGTAGGCCCTAGAAGGCACTGCTGTTTTGTTAGGCCGTCTGTGATTAACTCTCTAGACAGCTGCTACTGCCTCCATGTCACTACCGCCGCAATCACTCGCTAAAGCTGATGCCAAAAAAAACTCTGATCAACCGTAGGGACTGCAACAACGCCGCCTTGTTTTCACCTGCACTACTCTCCCATTTGAGAATGAGATTTGTGCGAAAAACACCGTTTGGAGGTGTTGCTTATTTCTGCAATTAAAACATCTCGGTTTATCTCCCGGTGTTAATTTATCACCATGGGGGGGGGGAAGTTGACGTGACACTGCCGCTTTTGCTTACACACTGCCTATCTTTGCTATACAAGTATATCAATTCAAGAAAATATCTTTGTCGTACAAATAAAAACATGGTCAAATATATTTTTTCGTCGGTCGTAGGCTGTGCCCACTGTGCCTATTGGGAAATACGTCCCTGGCTGTGTCTGATGCGTTGCTTAAACTAATTTTGGCGTGGTGAATTTTGCCAGGTGAAGCCCACTGAGCTGAATTGTTGTTTTCCTTGCCACAGGCGACCCAGCTACAATCCATAATAGCTCCATCGAAGTTGCTGCATCATCACACGTGGACATTGTATAGGCACTGCCAAAAAATCTAAACGCATGGTTTGGATTCCTGCGCTCATTAACCCGATCCAATACGAGCAACCCCCCCCTCCCCCCCTCGTGTCACGTTTGTCGCCGTGGGGGGGGGGGGGGGACGCGTGGCGCATTTAACCACCGCATGGTGAGACCCCCCCCCCCCCCCCCCGGTACTTCCCCGGAGACGGACCCACAAAACAAACACGCCGTGTAATACGGTCATCGCCTCTCGAGCTGCGCTTTCTTCTCGTGCACGGTTTTTCTTCCTTAGTCGGGTTCTCTCTATGCAATTTGCCCCCCTCCCCCCCGGTCAGGAGCTGAGGCGGCAGCGGATGGAGGCGACTGTGGAGCTTCGCAAGAACAAGAAGGAGGAGGGCCACATGAAGCGTCGCAACCTGGGCTCCTCGCCGGTGGAGCCGCCCGGCGACCTGGACGACCGCTACTCGTCCGTCTTGGACGACACCAAATGTGTACGGGTGGCGGTGCCATGGACTTTGGCGTGTGCGAGTGTCCGCGCACGCGCGTGAACGCTAAGCGAGGGGGGTCTGCCTGTGATCTGGTAGGGGGTTGTTGTTGGGGTTAATCATCTGGGGGGGGGGGGGGGGTGGTGGAGTGTTAAAATCGCATACGTGTGCGCGTTGAACTTCTGTCGTATGGTACCTAGCCATACAGGCGCGTGCGTTTGCAAAAAACCGAAGCCCACTCGTGGTGGTGTACCCTGGTCAACTTGCAAAAAAACCAAAGCGCTAAACAAGTCTAACCGTGAAACGTCGACTTTTGTTGTTGCGTGGATCGCAAGAAAAGCTCCCCAACATCATGACCGTCGCCGACATCCTATGCGGAGTGAAGAGCGGCAACTCTGAGCAACTGCTGCATGCGACACAGGCGGCGCGGTGAGGAAGGGATTCGACTCTGCCGGGGGTTGGCGGATCGCAGCGGCGAGGGGAGGTGTTCGGTCACCGGAGCGGAGGAGCCGGGTTCTGATCTTGCTGCTGGCTGCCTGTTGTTTGTGGCGCTGCTCTCTGAGTCCAGTGCTGTGTTTATGGTACTGTGGGTGGGTCTGCAGGTCTGCGTGTGGTGGGGTAGAGGTGTGAGTTGAGTACCTCCCGAGTGTTAGCTCATACCTTGCATGGGGTGCTCTCTTACCAGGACTTGCCCCAAGAATGTTCAGGCTATAATGGGGGGGGAGGGGGGGGGGTTGTCTACCCAGTGTGGAAGCATAGTCAAAGTGCAGTGTTCACGAATTTTTAGCAGCGGAGGGAGGGGCATCCTTTCGCTGATGAGACCTCGTCCGTGTGAGGTGCAAACACATTTTAAACCATGGGGGGGGGGGGGGGGGGGGGGTTGACAACACGATGAGGGTCTGTGCTTCACATTTTGTGTTGGGGGGGGGGGGGTCAGGGCGGGGGTGCGCACGGCAGGGACTGCCGGGAGCTCGCAGGCCCATCGATGAAGAACACTTTAGTTCGTGGGTCTGCAACAACAAAAATAACAAAGGGCCATTTTTTTGTTCGAATTCGGTGAGAAACTCCCTATTTTCAAGAGCCGCAATGCCACGTGGTGAACACTAGACTGTGGTCCTTAATAAAATACCATCACGGAGCAGTCCTTAAAGAGCCACGCGTGGCTCCGGAGCCGCAGGTTGCCGACCCCTGGTGGTCTAGTTGGAGGCTCGGCCTAATTGCCGGCAAGTCTCGTGGGCCTGCAGTCCCTTTTTAATATTACAATAATATCCAAGCATCTTTTATACACCGTGCAACGTAGGCGTTCGACGCTACATCATTCGTCGGCCGGCAATTGTGTAAAATCATCCATTCGTGGATTGTGCTCTCTCCCTGGTGAAGTCTGCACGAATCGTGGTCTGGTGCAGGATGGCACCGACCTCTTAACCTCGACCTCTTTACTTTTGCCTCGTCTCTAGTCCAGGCCCGACCTGCTGCGTTTGCACGGTCTAGTGTCAGGCTTTATGAACAAGTATAGATAGTCTCATCTCGTGATTTATTATTATTTTTATTTCCTAATTAATGTGGCGAGTTCAGTGAAATTTGTGCTAGATGTACCTCCTGTGTAAAGCTGACGTAAAATTGACGACACTTTGAAATTTCACATCACACTTCATTTAGTTTTGAGCTTGTCGTGTTGGTTAACTCGCACCCCCCCCCCGCCCCCGCAGGAAGATGCTATCCCGTGAGAAGCACCCACCCTTCAACGACATAATCGCGGCGGGGCTGGTGCCGGAATTCGTGGCGTGCCTGGATCGCGATGACTGCCCGCTGCTGCAGTTCGAGGCGGCGTGGGCCCTCACCAACATCGCCTCTGGCACCGGCGAGCAGACGGCCATCGTGGTGGCGGCCGGGGCCGTCCCGGCGCTTGTGCGCCTCGTCTCCTCGCCGCACTCGCACATCAGCGAGCAGGCCGTCTGGGCGCTGGGCAACATCGCCGGTGCGTGGTTTGGTGCCGGGATAGGGTGGTGGAGGGCGGTGCAGGTGGTGGCGAAGTTGCTGAAGGAGCGTTCTCTCTGTCGCGTTCTATGCTGGGTGCTGCTGCAGGTGATGGGGCGGAGCACCGAGACCTCGTGGTCAACAGCGGCGCCGTGGGTCCGTTGGTCGCCCTGCTGGAGAACTGCAACATCGACGAATTTCACGTGCGTGGCACTCCCCGCTCTGGCCTATCGTCTTCTCTCCGTCGAACGAACAATCTGCATAATAAAACTGGGATAACGGGTTTATTGTAAATGTTTCCAAAGCAACCCACGTCGTTTTTGGGCCATTCTATGCCCCCACCCCAGGTGGGCCTGCTCCGGAACCTGACGTGGACTCTGTCGAACCTGTGCCGGAACAAGAACCCGGCGCCGAGCGTAACGACGGTGCTGATGCTGCTGCCCACAATGGTGCGACTGCTGCACCACGCCGACCACGAGATCGAGGCGGACGCTGCCTGGGCCCTCTCCTACCTCACGGACGGCACCAACGAGCGCATCCACCTGGTGCAGGCGCAAGGGGTCACGCCGCGCCTCGTCCAACTGCTGGGCTGCGACGTGCCGGCCGTCGTGGTGAGTGGTGGTGGTGGTGGTGACGCTGCTGGTCGGATGGGAGGCAGTCGCCCTCGCAACAGAGGGCGGGGGAGCGACGCCTGCGACCAACGCGCGAAGGCGCTGGGCGGCTAAAACTTGGTGAGTTGCCACAGCAGGGGAGCACGGCTGGTGCATCTGCCAGTCATCTCGGTCGGTCAACCCATGGCACCTGGGTCTGTCCCGTGACCCCCCCCCCCCCCGCCACTTGGAGGCGAATGGCAGTTGAGTGGTGGTGGTGGTGGTGCAGATGGCCAGTTTGGGGTGGGTGGTGTGAATGGACTGATGGTTCATGTGGTGGTGGACAGCAATTTTCTCTGGCTTTTAATGACCACATTTTTACAATGAGATTATCAGCGTTCCAGTGCTGTGGCGCAACTCTTTTCTAAAGCTGCATGTGATGCCCTCCACAATCGGAATCCTTTACACTCGAGGAGGAATCTGAGCTATAAAATATATTTTTCGGATGTCCGGTAGGGGTAGCATCGGCAAGTTACAACGACAAACTATTCTAAAACATGATAGGAGTGCAAAGTATAGGAAAGGTAAGCCAGTCACTTCTTATTAAAAAGTATAAAAGTACAAATTGGTATGCAAGTGTGGGTTCTCAATTCCTAGGCCCTGGACTACACTGCCTAAGCTGCCCCTTAATGAACCTGGCAGGGGGTGGCTGTTAAACTCTGCCGTGATGTTTTAAGGTTTTGTGCTCGCGGTCTTTTTTATTTTTCTGGGACGATGTAAGGTGGGTGCCGCCCTTTCAGCAACTGTGCGGGTAACGCATCTGCAGGGGTCTCTTCCCCTTGTAACCTACAGCACCTCCACCCTGCAGGAATGACACTTGCATTGCGTGGCCGTGAATGACGTTACATTATGCTCGGACGATGCAACGGTTTTTTTCTAAATTTAAAATCGATGTTTTATTTGTATCCATATTGTGGGCACCCCTAACGTGTTTTTCGGAACAGGCTGTGTGTAAGTGGGTATCGCAGAGCTACGTCTGAGATGCACCTCCCCCAAACCCGTCCATTTGGTTGTGCTGCTTAATGCCATGGTCACACTGCAGGGCTGAGTTGGTTTGTTGCATTTTTAAGACCCGGGCAGACGACCAGACCTGCTTGTTACACTCGTAGGTTTGGAGAGACTTCGGCTGCCCAAACGATCCCGTCAACCACCACCACCGGGATATGGTCTCCAACAACACTCGCATCTATCGGTTCAAGTACAAGGCGAAAGACATAACCGCGAGTTTCCTTCATGTCTGCTGCCGCCCTCCCCCGACCACCACTAGACCCCATGCCTGCGTGCGATCGGAAACATGGTGACAGGCACTGACGAGCAGACGCAGGTGGTGTTGAAGGCCGGTGCCCTCGATATGTTCCCCATGCTGCTGCGCCACCCCAAGAGCAACATCCAGAAGGAGGCCACGTGGGCCGTGTCCAACGTGGCGGCTGGCCCCATAGACCAGATCGAGCAGATCATCGCCGCCGGCCTTGTGCCCCACCTCATTCACGTCCTCGACAAGGTGGGTGCGTGTTGGGCTTGAACGGTCAGCTTGGTCAGTCCCAATACATACCTGGGTCTGTCCCATGACCTGTCGGGGAGCCTTCGATCCTTCATGTGATGTTCTTGGTACACCTGGCACAGGCACCGTGGTGATGTCGCCATCACGTAGTGGCGAGTGGTGGATATTATTGACTGTCGTGTAGTGGGGAGCCGCCGAGTATTAGTGGTTAGCGTGCTGCACTGTACCCCCGGTATCCTTAGTTAAGATTCCTGCTCTACCGCCAACACAGATGACAATTATCTGAACCGGTCCTGGGCCGCCTCCCCTAAGTCGACTTCGGCCTCAAATGAGTACCTGGTGCGGTGTGTAAAAACATCGCCATTGGGGAGACGAAGGCGGCCAGGCGTGGTGCTGCCCCCCCCCCCATCCCCTCATGTGCCGTGCCAGCCGTCATAGGTGCACCTAACAGGACTTGTGCCAACAGTCAAAGGCTGTATGGGGGGGGGGGGGGTGGTGGGTCTTTGTCATTGCCTTTTGTTTGAGGGTGGGGGGGGGGCTGTGTCCATCCATTCCCTCCACAGGGCGACTTCAAGTGTCAGCGCGAGGCCATCTGGGCAGTGACGAACTTCACGAACGGCGGCTCGGTGGAGCAGATCGTGTACCTCGTGCAGGAGGGCGTGCTCAAGCCCATCCTGAACCTCTTCTGTTCCAAGGACAGCAGGAACGTGCAGGTGGCGCTCAACGCGCTGGGGAACCTCTTCCTGGTGGGTTTTTCCCGCGTGTCATCGTCGCCGCCACGGCTGCCCTCCCCACCGGGGGGGGTGGCCCCGTTTGCCGGTTAGGTCCACTCGCCCGCTCCCACCGCCATGCGTGCTCTCTTCATTCTCATTAAAATCATTGTGCCATCTCTGATCGCGGTGGCTTTCGGCTCTGTCCTCTAACAAAGATGGGGTCGGCGCATTGCACGGTGCTTTCAGATGCGCTATCGCGGCCGTCTTGAACGCTCTTCCAATATTGGGAAGCCACTGGGAGCTATGTACTTTTAAATAATCTGGATTTAACTATTTGTGTTCAGTTTGTCCTGCCCCCGCACCTCCGATTTTTAACACGGTTGGCTACGTAAGAAGAAAGACGTTCAACATACACTCCTATCCTCCCTCCATTGCATCCAGCTGCATACTCCGATCTGTTATTGCGCATTTTATTTTGGCATAACGTCTGACGCGTTGCCGAGCTTCAGATTCGTGAAACAACAACTTGATACATACTTTAAAAACCTACTTGCCCGCAAAGCTGTTTAACTAAACGTTCTTGTTGCGAGGTGGATTCTTCTCAATGCGACCACCCAGTGGTACAATTTGATGACGACACTGGGGTTGACCGCAACAGAGCCGTTTTACAAACCGGACCCCCGTCCTTGTTCGCTGTGGTGCGAAGGCCGCGGAGAAGATTGGCGAGGTGGAGAACATGACGCTTATGGTGGAGGAGAGCGAGGGGCTGGAAAACCTGGAGATGCTCCAGATGCACGAGAACGAGACCATTTACAAGACGGCGCTCGCACTCCTCGACAAATACTTTAGCACCGTGAGTACTCTTCTAGCCTCCAGTGTCGCCCTGCTCTGAGCAATCGATGGGAGCAGTTGTGCTGAAGGGGGGGGGGGGGGTGGGCACAAAGTGTACTTTATGGCACTCTAACAGCTGCAAGTTGGTGGGCCAGAGCAGCAATCATATCTACCTTCACGACGCAAAACCGCAGTAGCACAAATTGTTTATACATGGCCCGTACGAACAAATTGTTAATAGTCCACTTATAGCCATTTTACCAGGTAAAATCCTCCTGCGCTAATAGCGTTTTCAGAAGCGACCTGGCCACAAATGATAGCGCAACGAAGTGGCTCGTGGAAATGTATAGCAGTCGCAAAATACACTGTACAAACCCAGGAGGATTCGGACATTGACATGACCATGGAGTGAAACCACTCCAACTCCAACTATACAGCAGGTATAAAGGTTGGGATTGGAACCCATGGCCTCCTGTATGCCAGGAAAGGTCGTTAACATCTTGCCACTGTTGTGCTTTCTTCCCCGCACCCCATGGAGGAGGAGGATGGGAAAGAGCTGGTGGGACCGACGGTGACTGGGAGCCTGTACATGTTCACTCAGCCCAGTAACGAACACGACGGTGGCTTCGGCTTCTGAGCTGCCAACAGGGAGGAGGGACGGCGGAGGTAGTGGGAACTATGCACCTCCCGTCGCGTGACTTGGAAGTGCGAAACAGAGGTTTTAATGCCGCCGGCAAGTCGTCTCTCTCTAAAGCGTGCGTGTTCGGCGCCAAGAGGTGGGTGGAGGTGGTGGGAATATAGGGGTGAGGATGTCTTTCTGTTTGTGCAGTGGAGTGAGGTTGAACATCACCTTCGCTGGAAAATATGGCACGATGTCAAATTCCGATCCTCCCTAGTCCATGGACCACAGCAGAATTTTGGGGCTGCACGTTTCTGTTTATGACTAATATGTGGGTTGTGATGTCATGATTCATACATAAGGTCGTTTACAAATTGGCTTTTTTATTGGCTTTTTAAAGACGGTTGGTGTAACTTCGGTCTTGCCGTCTCTCCCTGGTGGTACCAACGGAGGAAACTAGTTCATCTGGGCCCGTGGTGCCACTCCGCTCGCAAGAGCTCAGTGTGGAGTCTTGGTGATCATCGGATGTCTTTAAATCGGCGTTGCAGTTGCATGTTCCATGTATTCTGGGTAATGTTTCCAGACTGAGAAGTCTCAACTTTAATGGTTGACGAGGTGCTTTTTCAGTCCTTTTTTTCCTGTGCGAGTCTCGCCGCATCTTTGTGTTTGTTCATCGAAACTGGCACGTTTTGGAGCTTGTGGTTAAACGCTCAATGCACATTAAACACAAAGCTGTCTGCGCTAATGCAACGGTGTTAAACAGCTTTGAAATCCGAGCACATATTTAAGTTTAAATTATAACAAAGCTCTATTGACTGTTTTAAGTATCCTGAAGTTTTACTGTTAATGACAAATAAAGATTGCTACTTGAATGTTTACATCTACAATGGGTTTTTAATTTAAGTGGTGGCCAGATTTTGACCTAGAATGTGAAATGGCTTTCCCCAATCAACTCTGCCTTGGTGTCCCACTCTCCAACCTGCAGTGACCAGTGTGGTGAAGTATGGTCAAAGAGCTGTGCGAGTCGGCTGTCTCGTGCGGTTTCCAATTTGTGCCCTATTTTGGAAAGCATCTACTGCGCGTCAACTGAGGGGAAACCCCCCGGACAGTACTCCGTTAATAATTTTTGACCAAGTTCCAATCCCTCCCCTCCTGTTTTATGGATTTGTGGGCAATTCGTTCAGCTTTTTAAAATCACTCTACGTACTCTGAGATGGTAATGACTTGTAAAGAGCTGCCACTTCTAAGGTAGGAAAACAAAACAGTACTTATTGCGATAAAAGGGGGGGGGGGGGGTGAGAGAACTACAGGTAACCGCATACATACCCTTGAGTAATACATTCTCACACGATAGACGACCACAAACTTTAATATTTAATATTGTGGGAAATTCTGGTACCGATATTCTTTTCCCAGAATGGCTCCTACACTCAAACGATGACTATCCTGGGAAAACAGGACACGTGGTAACCCTCGTATTCGTGTTTTTAAATATTACATTTTATGGAGGGCGTGTGCCATTAGAGCATTGCTACGCTGCCGTTCAGGAGAATTTGTGGCATTTTGTAAAGCGAGGCGAGTGTCAATATTCACCCAGACAACTTCCCCCTGGGTTTTCAGAATTTTTACCGGAAATAACCCCGCGTTGGTCTTGGGCCAATTCCGTGACGATGAATGTAGGAAAGTTAATTTTCTAAATTCGAATGTTAAAGTGGCAGCTTCATTTTATGGGGTTTCCAAAAAATATCCACATTGAAATAAACAGTACCGTAAGAGATCTATGCTAATTATCTGATGGCACCGTGAGTCTTGAGTGACCGATGTAGAATCTAATGATCTTCAGGCGGCAGGGTTGGAAGATTTTAAGGGGTGGGGGGTCACCCTTAAGATAGTCGAGAGGAAACGCTTCGCAGATGCGTTAAAATGTTGCTCGTTTGGCGTGCGGCTGGTGACGCTAACGGCGACCTTTCCCCAAAAAAGTCGAACCCGGCCACCCGAGTTCGATTACCGCTCGCGGGCCCACACGAGTGACCGGTTTATTCAAACCGGTCCTGCGCCTCCTCGCGGGTTGACTCTGCCTCCATGAGAACCTGGTGTGGTGCGTGAACGTCGCTGCTTGGGGAGACAAAGGCGGCCAGCGGTGTTGGCCACCCAACCCCCCCCCTCCCCCCCGTGTGCCGTGTCGGCCTTCGTAGGTGCTACTCGCTAACAGCACCTGCCCCGGGTCGTTGGCTTTGTTTTGGTGACTATTGAACCTGGTGCTGCCCCTTTTTTTTTACCCAACCCTGCATTGATCCGCAACGGTGGCGCACGAGCAAACAAACTCGTGCGGTGGAGGAAAGAAAACTCCGGTGTGGTGTCCTTTGTGTTTTCAGTTTTAATTTACTTTTTTATTTCAAATGTTGAATTCAGCCGGGACCTCCATGCTCAATCTGGTGCTCGTGTTTAGTTTGTTTTTTAAACGTGCACATTTCTATCAACGTTATCAAGTAGTTAACTTTAATCGCCCATTTTATTGGATAATTTTCGGATTTAAATATCTAAGTTGGATTTTCGATATATTTTTTTTAGGATCGATCTTATAGTTTTACAATGTTCGGTTCTTTCGCGGCTTTATCAAATGTGCCTCGTGCTAGCAAGGATGACGTCACCCGATGCCACGTGACGCCCATAATTGGCGGGAAAAGCCCGGAAGTGATGTAATTCAATGACGTCACGCGTTCGTGTATTTCGGATTCCGAAATTTCTTATGCAGGCCCCGATTTTCTGGGGGGGGGGGGGGGGGGGGGGGGGGTTATCTCAAGATTATTAAAAACATTTGGAAGATCTCCCGAGTGCTTAAAATATCGGGGGTAACGAAAAATATCACGAGTGAAAAAAATGTCGGTTCCGTCTACTGGACTTCAGAAAAAAGGCTTTGCGTACGCTAATGACCTTATATTATTGGTTCTTTCGGTAAAGTCACGTAGAAGGAAAATAATAAAATAAAACAATAACATTATCACGACGTTTCGACTGCAACACAAGCAATCATCATCAGGTGTGAAAACCACAACAATTTTTTTCTTCCAAATTTTCTCTTGCTGTGGTTTCCACACCTGATGATTGCTTGTGTTGCAATCGAAACGTCGTGATAATTTTATTTTATTATTTCCCTTCTACGTGTGGTGACTTTACGGAAAGAACCAAGAATATGAATCCCCTGCAGTCACGAAAACTTTAAATCGAAAGCTGATGACCTTATTATGCAGTACAATTATTATAATAAGGCTTCGTGAGTGTCAAAGATATCATCGGTTGCCAAAAAAAAAATGCCGCCGTAGCAACGATTCGTGACCCCCAAATGCTTTGCAATTGACGGCCGTAACCAGTTTTACAACGCATTTGTTTGCATTGTTGTTTCTGCAATGTGCCTCGGAGGTAGGCGTGGTTGATGGCACGGATGGCGATAGTCGTAAAAACTTCGCGTGTTTTGTAAAGTGATCTGCCCACCGAGGGAGGGGAGGGAGTCCCGTCACGAGTTCATTGGCCGTAGCGATGGTTGACGAACGTTACAAGGTCGCACTCCACACACACACACAAAAAGGGGCTTTGCCGAAAATTAACAATTGTTTTATATATTTGTATTTATTATTTTAGTGTGTTTCCCTTTCTACGTGTGGTGACTTTACCGAAAGAACCAAGAATATGAATCCCTGCAAGTCGCGAAAGCTTTAAATCAAAATTCATTGCAATACCCTTTGGGTTTTTTTTTCGGTAAAGTCACGTAGGTAAAAATAATAATAAAGTAAATGAAAAACAACTACATTTTTTCTTTTTACTTTTTCAAAATTTTTTTTTTACCTACGTGACTTTACCGAAAAAACCCAAACGGTATGAATCCTTGCAGTCACGAAAGCTTCAACTCTAGAATCATTGCAATACCTTTGTTAACCTCGTCAAGGCGCATATATCGTCACGCGAACTCCGGTAAACCTTAAAAGCAGCGACTTTTGGCTGGCCATCGAACAGGGACTGTCACCGCATCGCGCGCGCGCTTTCAGATGCGCTTCTGCGGCTGTCTGGTTAACGCTCTTCCTTCCGCTATTAAGATTCCAGTTTTTTTAAAAATCTAGATTGACAGACTCTCTTCTTTTTAGAACTCTTTTTTTGGTGTGTTTTGGTTCGTTCTGTATCCACTGTCTCTGCTGCTGTGTCATAACCGCATGCAAATGGGGTGGCAGCTGCACGCATGAGTTCATAGTTCCATTTATTTGGTATAGCCCTGTGAGCCATTCGGCTCTTGAATCGGGTGCAACCGCAACAAACAAAACTAAAACATGAACAACAAATATTCATGAAATAGCACCGTACACCAACGCTGTGTGCAAAAATCCCAGTGGGATGCAAGTCAAACAACAACCACAAGACAACTAAGATTAATGCCATCGGTCTAACTCCGTACTACAATAAACAAAAACATGGCCAAACCAAAAGACTTTTCGAAATCACAAATAAAGCCATAAATGCAATGTAACAGTTATCATAGAGACTGACCGAATTTTTAAAAATAAACGACATAAACAACATGTAACACAACCCTAGAGCCATAGCTGGCTGCATGAGTCACTCAACAACAGAAGCATCAGTCGGAGTATCAAATGTTTCAATGCACCTTTAAGATCAGCACGCTAGATCAAAATACAGATAATACTTTGCAGCGGTCATCCGGAGTGAAACATTTTATTTTAGGCCACTGAATAGCAGTGGCAGCTAGGGGTGTACAATTCCTCTAGAGCAGTCACAACCGATAACGAACGTGAGAAGGTTTTACCCACCCGCATATCCGATGATCGCTTTTAATGGGACCCCAGCATTTGTTAACGCGACCGGAGTGCGATTTACATTCGTGCTGAATCTGCGAACCCCAGAAATGAGATGGGTGAAATCAGTCGGTGTCGGTCGTAGGGCGGAGACATTTCGTCAAAATGAATGCTTTTTTTTGTACGCAGTGCGCATTACATGTCGTGGCAAACAACATAAAGGGCCTCGTGAACCTATCACTTCATTATAGTTGGTCCGAGTCGGCGGTCTTGCTGACAACGCAATAAAACTTGCCCGCGTTCCGACTACACAGGGCTCTTCAGCCTGAGCAAGAGCGTACCGCTACGACTCGGAGGCGTGGGGTGGAACCACAGATGAGCGAGACGTGCAGCAATATTCATGTGGTGAGCTGGTGCCCGATTCCTCCCGGAAGCTCTGCAGTCCTCATAAGGCGTTATCAGCCGATTAATAGGTGCCGACGTGTAAAGAAACCGGAGCACCCAAAGAAAATCCATGCATGCGAGGGGGCAACACTCCATCCCGAACAAATGGGAGATTATTCCACACTTGCTGTACTGACCTCCACTGCTGGATTGCAGGCATGGAATAAGCTGAAGAGTGTGCAAAGACACGTGGAGAGATGCACGCTGGGAATTACACTGAAAGACGAAGAGTAACACATGCATCGGGGAACACGTACAAATCAGAGACATTGATGTCTATGTAAATGAAGTGGGCTTGGGCATGGGACATCCTGATGAGGTATGATAATTATTGGTGGATGAGAGCCGGTGATGAAATGACGGTCAAATGAGGGCATCCACCTGGGATGGTGATTGCAGAGGAGAAGCGGTGATGTGATGTGCCCAAGGATTGTGGATTTTGGCACCACAGCGTCACGAGCATTGGCAAAAAGGGCTGGATTTCTGTTCATCTAAATTTATTAAATCCACCACCGTTACACGTGCAGTGACATAGCGCCGACTGCTGTCCAGCAGTGGCAACTGCGGTGGGCAAAGTGCACACGCTGTTGAGCATATACTGGGTGTGCCGGCAGGGCGGAGGAACTGGGA